ACTGCAGTACAATGAATGATGTTTCCGAAACAAACAAAATGAAATTTCCCTAGAGAAACTTAAAGCAAAAGAACTAAGTGAAAATGCGAACAAAAGCTCTAAATTTGGTTGAACGTCTGACAGGACTGGGATTTGGCGAGCGTATATTATAATGTTGACATTGAGAGAAAATGTCATGCATGATGTTTGGAAATTTTGCCAAAAACGTTCTGAGAATACCTTTAAAATATTCAAAAGATGTAGGCTACCTACCGCCATTTTAACTGCTCAAGATCCTGTTGCTTCAAGCGACTGTTTACACGACAACAATACTGTATGTTTGTAGATACAAATTACAAAGCAAAAGGCATGTATTATTGCAGGTAGTTTTATTATTAATAATATATAAATATTTTACCACAAAACAGAAACTTACCTTGTTACCGTCACCACTGTTATTCCCTCAAACTCGACCTCAATATCCAAAGGTAAAAAAATTAAACAATCAAATTGACTTCAATATAAGAATTCGATGTGTATAGAATTTTATAATTAGTGAAATGAGCAATTTTAGCTTCCGAATATCACTCGTACTATATTAATCACTAATTGTACTCGCCATTGCATGCATGATTACCTATACAAATCAGTTAACCATGTAGGCTATAAGAATACGGATCATTGATATTGCCTTGTTCAGAACTCTGGGGACGAGGTTGGTTCAATTCTAGATTAATTAACCAAAAACATTCTGAGAATACATTAAAAATATTGAAAAGATGTACCTATACCGCCATTTTCACTGCTCGCTAACTCCTGTTGCTTTAAGAGACGGTTTACACGACGACGATACTGTTTATAGATACAAGCTTAAGGCGGTATTATTGCGGGTAACTTTATTATTAATAATAGATAAAATATTACCACAAAACAGAATCTTACTTTATTACCATCACAACTATTTTCTTGCCCCAAATACGCCCTCAACATCCGAAGGTAAACGGAAAATATTAAATAATGAAATTGAATTCAATATATGAATTCGATATGTATATGGCATTTTTTATTAAGTGCATGGAATGAGTTGTCTAATGTCTCTAATTGTTAATTAGTATACATGCATGCACTCAACCAGGCCGGTTTATCACAAATCCAGCAGTCTGATTGCAGCTACTCAACAACGCTCACAATTGTGATCCGTATAATGGTCCCTATCTTCAAAACCCACCAAAGCCTGAGAAGGACTGAACTGCATGCATGCATAGCTGCATTAACAAGCATGACGATGCATTAACAAGCAAGACAGGCTTATTTTATCATATAATATTTAGGCCTATTTAATAAATGATAATTAAATAATATTATACTAATATATACTTAAAGTTTTCCTTCTTAATATTATATTTTTACCGTACTCTATTAAATATTAATTAGAAACAAAACATATACACACCTGCAATCCAAAATAATCATTAGTAATTCAAATAATAAACATGTCCAATTATTGAATGAGGTTGAGAATGATATCGAGAATTATCAAGACCGAGGTTTGTGTTATCCACCGACGCCGAATTAGACTAGAGGTGGATAACACAAACCGAAGTCTCGATAATTCTCAATTGCATTCTGATTTCAGCTACTTATGCCTGTTTTCCACTTCAATCGTATAGTACCGAAACGTAGCGTATTTCTTTGTTTCCTGAGCACTAGTGTGGAACTATAATGACTTCGAAACAGAGGAGAATGCTACGATACATTACGACACGGTCGAAGTGGAAACTGGCTTAAACGTCTCAACCTGGGACCATTGCGCATGGGTCATGGCAGCGAAAAATCGAATGCGAGAAATATTCCTAAATTGCGACAAAAATAAACTACTATAGTCGTATAGACGGTTGTAATTGTTTTTTGGTGAAATAATGAATGTTTAGCTGTTGTGCATGATCGATGTTGGCAATTCTTTTCCCTTTTTTTCTACTGTTTGAAAAAACGCTGCATTGATAAGCAATTAGGACAGACCATTTTATCACATAAAATACTTTAACTATTACGTTGACAACGAGACTGTTTTAGATACAAAGGCAGCTGCTATTGCGGGTAGTTTTTATTAAATTAAGTTTATTATGACTAATTGTATAGATGTCAAGGACACTTCATGTGCTTCACACGTATCACTTTAAAAAAATTAAAGCTACTATGAGTTGGTTTACTTTATATCCTCCGAGCCATGACAATTCAATGGACATTATATTGGTCAACACTACATGGTGTCCCAAAAAATCCCAAAACCATTGAAATAAAGTATTGTAGAATTTGAATGCCCCAGCACTCTGCTGAACGCAAAGATGCGTAAATATTGTCTAGGGTGCATATATTAAATATTGACTTACTAAGAAATTAAAATATCTTTGTAAAGCGCACGATTTTCTGCTCTTGGGAATTTAAAACAGCTTCTTAATTAAACGGTTTCTTTGTGCATAAAATTTACTTACGTCAAGCTTTGATGCACGTGTGGGTTCATGCAGCAGAGTGCTGAGGCATTCATATTCTAACAATACATTTATTTCAATAAGTTTTCGGGTTTTTTGGGACACCCTGTATAATTGCTAAGTAAAACAGTGGTAATACTCGTGTTTACCAAGTGGAAAATGCAACACGTACAGGCAATTATTTTGCATGGTATACAGGGTGTATCAAAAAAAGGAAGGAGACCTTTAGAAATCAAGCATATTGTTAAAATTTGAATGCTTTTTCAATTGCAGCATATAGTGGTGCGTGAAATATTGCTGCATACATGGTGCATAGAGTATATTAGAAAAAGGAGACCCTTAGAAATCGAAATAACTGTTTAAACAAAAGATTGTCTGCTCCTGGGAACAATCTGCCATGCATACTGTACGTAGATCGCATGTTGGATGGTTGATTTGAAATGGTTGATTTCTAAAGGTTTCCTTTTTCTAATATACTGTATGCACTCCACAATATTTCACGCACAACGTTTCAGCATATGTGCAATTGAAAAGCCATTCAAATTTTAACAATATATGCTTGATTTCTAAAGGTCTCCCTTTTTTTTTATACACCCTGTAGATCTCTTCAAACGCATTCCTAGGATATCTTGCATGCATGTTACCTTTATATACTGATGCAATGTTGAAAATTAATTTTCTGCTTTTTCCTACTGTTTAATACTATTCTTGACGTACTGGCGTTTCAATGGTTACTCCCGAGTCCACCCAGTCTTTCGCGCGATCTACCGGGTGTCTCAAAAAAAAGTAGCGGTGTTTGATTTGTTATACCGTTAAAACTGGACAAAGAGTTTCATTCAAATAGACTTCACTGAATTCAGAAAGGCCTAACTTAAATTTTGATATTTCGAAGAAGCAATTTTGAAAATGCTTAAAATTACATTAAATCGGCTTATCAAATTAACATTTAATTTAATGCTGTTCTTGTCAACACAACGCACGATAAATAATATTTTTACACATTCGATGATTTACTGATTCATCTGAAAAAGCATGCCCTTGAACACCTATACAACGTCGTTCTCTGTTAATCATGCCAGAAAAAGCGATTTGTATTATTTGTGCATCCAAACTTTAGCACGCCAAGATAACTGTCTGGCGGAGTTGTCTCAAATTCCTAGGCTGCTGCTCATGCGGGACGTTCCAGATTTGTTGCTTCAATTCGAACTTTCGCATTTGTATTTTTCATTTCCCACAAGGCCCAAAGGTCAAAATATTTTATGCAAACCATAAAATAATACAAGATTGAAGCTAACTTCTTTAAAATTTTCAATACTCCCGAAAAAATAGCAAATGTCTTCAAAGGAATTTAATAAGCCATTTTAGTCCATTTTTTCGCCAATTTTCAAACTGAACTTTGCCTAAAAACATTTATATCTCGCCCAATATGAAATGAAAGATCTAGCACTGTATACCAAAATTTAGGTTAGCATATTCTTAATACCATAAACTTATTTGAAAGCCATAACTGGAATAGTTTTTACATTATGTTAAATCAAACACCGATACTTTTTTTTGAGCCACCCGGTATAAATTATATTGTCAAGATTTCGATTTGTGCCTGGATGTTTGTCATATATCCGGAGGAATAATTAAACTTAAGCCCAATTTTCTAATTGAAAGGGGAAGTTGCACGAGCAAGAATTGTATAGGCGCACGCACGTTTTTTTTCCATGTGCTCAGATTTTACAAGCGATTATTGGGATTTATAGGGATGAAATCGATTGTTGCGGAATAGTTCAGGTAAGTATATGGCTTTATTTCTTTCTGCTGATATACATCAAGGCGATGACCATTTTAGTGCTCAAATATACAGGGTCAGGGTGTATAAAAAAGTAGACAATTTTAAAAATTTTTTAATAAATATAGATTGTTCGGGTACTTATAATTTCGCATAAACAAAAATAGTTTCGTAAAGATAAATTTTCCAGAGCAGGCTGGTGTCTTTAATAGAAATTTAATTTTTTAATAGAATGCATTTGTTGTGTTTCTAAGTCTAGTTGATGCGATTGCTTTACCTGCATGAACGACACAGGGTAAAATAACTATAGTTCTTACACTCTATATAAGCTCTAATTAATACGGTGCAAAAACTGATAAGGGCTAAACGAAATCGCTACCCACTTTACCTCGGTATGTCGGCCTTTAACAGGATGAAGGGGCCTGTGGTATTTTGCTCCATAACCTGAAAAATAAACCCGGTTTTAAGCATGGTTGAAGAATCACAGTTGTTCAAAAGCTCCATGCATGGCCCTGGGATTGAGGGTGCAAAAACTCGACGTTCTTGCAAAAACTCGACGTTTTGTATCAGTCTTAAGCGCACAGAGCACTTTGATGGCGCGGGGCCCATGTATGGCATATGGTTAATTCGGCCCTTGGACGTAGACGTCGAAACTACTCAGGACAAAGATAAACGGTTAAAAGGATCATGAATGGTGGATTCATTTCGGGCGAAGTGTTTTGCATTTAATGCATATATACAGTAAATTGTTTGCTGTTTGTTTAGACTTTATTTAAAAGTGAATAAGATTATATTTAACATTACAACATCTGATAGCTTCACAAACCAGGCTAATAATTAGAACATTTCTAAATGTCTAAATTCCTAACAGTTATATCCAATTGGCTAACAAACTGATTTATCAATGACATTTAAACGTCGAAGCTATTTAAACCATTAGTTTAACTCAGATGGTTTTCCGCCTCACTCCTCGTCATGATTTACTCTATCAGACTAAATACTAGTAGAACAGTAATTATAAAACGAGGGATCGTAATGTAGTTGACAGCCAAACTTGCAGAATTTTTACGCACTGGTCGCCCTAGTTTCGTCAACAAACGTGGAATATCATCTGTATACAATCTCCCCGCTCCATTATCAATCAGATTTTTTATCTTCTTCTCCGAATCATCCAGTTGTTTTTCATTAAATTTCAATTTGTATATAGTCCACGCTCCGTAACTAAACTCCGGTCCGTAGTTCTTCTTAAACATCGCATAAGTGTCATTCGAATACTTGGGGTTATTATAAATATCATAATCCATATCGAGGCTCGAAGCACCAATAGCTTTAACTACTGCTGGTGTTTCCAAAATAAATTTCCCGTATTCTGAATTAGATATATTTTTCACACAGTCTTTCAAACCTTCGAGGTGTCCAAGGTCTGCTTTTGATGCTGACATGTATACCTTGTCGTTCCAGTACTCTTTTTGTACCAGAAAACACGTGTTGACGATAAGTTCCTTGCGAGCGTAATACAAGATAAACGGATTAAATGAACTTAGAACAACCTGCTTCTCTAGTCCGAATCTCTTCACCATTTTCGCGACCTCCACACCGGTCTCTTGGCTGTGTTTGAAATTATAAGGTACGTCGGATGGTTTCATTTCCAAGATCATGAGCAACCCTGAGTCTTTCATCATCTTCAACAGATCTTCTAGAAGTGGAATCTTCTCAGTTTTTGTGTAATTATAGACACGATCACCTGAAATAGAAAGAAATTTATTTATTACACATATTGATGTTTAACGCAAGACAATTTTGCATTCACACGGAGCTAGACCTTCTAGAAATCTTTTACAAGATGGTAAACTATATCACTAATTATCACATACTTGTACCTTTATCAGGTAGGAAGCAGCGGGACATACTAACGATATCGTCCCGGATATCGTTTTTTGTCCCGGATATCGTGTTTTGTCCCGGATATCGTTTTTTGTCCCGGATATCGTTTTTTGTCCCGCTAAATTTCGCGCCTTGTCAAAACAAAGATGGTCGGCTCAAGGTTCGTGTTGGTTGATGTCGAAGAAAACAAGAACGATAATACAAAATGAAAAACTTAAATTGTATATTATTTATATGAATGGTCTATTTATTTTCTAAAATCATATTTGTTCAGTAAATGATGAATTGTTTTGAATTCTAAAATGATCCTATTTTTTCAAAACTGTTTACCTTTGGGTGTCAAACCCTGATAAAGGTACAAGTATATAATAAATAGGTTATCGTACTCGATAACAGTTTTACTCGATAACAGATAACAGATACGATAACTAAATTTCGCGCTTTGTCAAAACAAAGATGGCCGACTCGAGGTTCGTGTTGGTTGATGTCGACAGTTTCATCGAAGGAAACAAGAACGATAATAAAAAACGAAAGACTTAAATTGTATATTATTTATATGAATGGTCTATTTATTTTCTAAAATCATATTTGTTCAGTAAATAATGAATTTTTTGGAATTCTAAATTGATCCTTGGTGATCCAGTGGTGATGATTTACAGTAATATATCCGTTTTATATATATACAAGTGTTTATCTAATTTAAAATGCTAAAAATGTACGTATAATAGAACCCTAACCACTAACCACTATCCCTAACCCCTAACCCCTAACCCTAATTTTTTTAACTTTTTAAATTTTTTTAACTTTTTTAAAAATCTAACTCTTTAAACTTTCCTTGCTTTTTAAAACTCTTTTAAAACTTTTTTAAAAACTATTTTTTTAAAAAACTTGGAAAACTCCCCGCCCCTGCGCGACGAGCCTCCCTTTTAGTGCCATTACATTCATAACAAGGAACCTTGTGCAACGATTGTGGTTTCATGATTAACTCTATTGATAAATTCAGAATGTGCCGCGAATTTATCATAATGTTAAATTCGGACGAGTTTAAGAATTTACTCATATAGTAAATTCAAAGGTGGAGCTCATGTTGAAAATGCTCCAGGTTATTTGCGGTAATATTTGCATTTATTATGGGATGCTAAGTGTTTATATACTGTCTGTTTCTCCATGGTTAGGTGCTCTTTTACTCGTGATCCTACTGTTCGTCCCGTTTTCCCAATGTATACGGTTCCACATGCTGAACATATAATATAATTATATACCACATTTTTCTGTAGGCAGCGATTTGGTTTGGATGATATTTTGCATGTCTCGCATCCCTCGGGACAGTTCTGTTTTCTTTAGGTGGGGCAAAAACTTTCGACAAGGGTGGACCATTCATAAAATGTATTTTACGTTTGTATGCGTGATCGATTTAAGATCCCCAAAGCCCGCCGTTTGAATTATATCGTTGATGAATGGTAATTTCAAATAGACGAATTGTTGTTGGTCATATATATATATAAAATATGAAAATAGGTTCGCTAAGCGTACATGTATCTGCTCATGGTGATTGCACTGTTGCCAAGGGCTTCAATCAACACTCAGTAGCTTGTAAAAGAATTTAAGGGACTGATGTGTAACAGTTGACCAGTTAAATAAAGTTAGATTTATAGTATGTCAGATGAAAGAAAAATAAAATGGCTGATATATATTCAACTTGCAGAAACTAATTCCGGCCATAACTTCACAAAGATGATATTCAATTTTATGATGTTCTTGTTGAATCATCTTAGTTTTATAATTTTTTTGCCGGGATGGTTGGGGGGTTGCTCTGGTTCCGAGTTGTGTCGGTCATGTGTGCCGCCCGCCAATCAACTTGCTTCGCTATTGCAAAGTCTTGCTTGACTACAGTATTTGAATTGTAATTGTTGTTCACAGTTTGCCTATCATCATATTATTACTCAAATTTCTGTATCTCATTTTGTTTCTAATAATTTTTGCTTATTATGAAAAATAGGACACCCCTCCCGCACCCCCTCTGGCCAAGGCTAAGGGGGGGGGGGGTGCACACCCCACATCCCCCCAGTAAATCCATCTCTGTGTTCTTGTTAAAACATTTCGTGTTCCAAATCTTCTTGATAACTCATAATAAACTTTAGCAGGCATGCGAGAACGTTGTAGATGCTTAGAAGTTGTCAGGTTAACAGGTGGTGCCAATATACATTTGCAGAGTTTCGAAAGCCTTTTTATACCATAATTGATACATAAAATCAATATTTCTGCTGTTTATAATTGATTTATTTCATTTTAGAAAATGTCATAGTCAGGGTTCATGGCACACAAATCAACTGTTTATGCCTAGTAAATATTATCAAATAGGTCATATATTGAAAGTCATTCATCAGCAACAAATGATGACAAGTATGGAAATTAGAAGTATAATCGATGCATATAGTTCTTGAATAGAATGATATAATTCAGCATACCAGATCCATGCAATAATATTTTGTCGTGGAAGAAAATCCACTAAACGAATATTATGTTAGTTTTGTACATTTTGTGCTATAAATAAGATTCCATTATGACATATGGTTGTTGTTGATTATAAGACAATATAGTATAGGATAGGTGAAGGCGGATATAAATTGCTTACCTGCAGGTGTTCTTGGCAATGACATTCAGTTGCAGAAATCAGGGTGGGTGAAGAAGGGAGCACCCCCTCCAGGATATAGTTATATGCTGCAAGTTGATTATTATGACTGGTTGCAACTGTTACTATAAGTATTTATATTCCAATCTAAAACTGAATCTCTGCTCTTTATGCAGCGACTATTACTTTGACTTTTCTTTAATGAAAGTAATTATTCAATGCAGATAAGTACTGCTATAAAGTGTTTTAAGAGAAATGTCTCCAATATGTGTGACTTAGCTTCTGACTCTGCTAAATTTGTATAAAAATGATCTATCAAAGTCTGTAATGAAAGCAGACACCAATTGTCTATATTTATGATCATTAATAAAGAAATTATGTAACCTTACGAAATTATACAGCCTTCTATTGGTTTCATACTTTCATTCAACTAATTTATATTAACTAAAGTCACCAATGAAAATGTTAAATTGAGAAGTACATAAACATCAACACTTACAACTCGATATACACCTACAACGGCAACATGTGGAAGAACCATTACTTTCATAGTTTCATAATAGTATTCTCAATGCATTAGTCAATATATTTTCTTGTCAAAAATTGCGAATAATTTCGTTTCCACTGCGTATTAAATGATGAAACCCTTCAAATGCTTGCCAAAAATGCACTATCGACATTTGCTATATTCAGACTAGTAAAATGACGTTGTATTAAACTGCGTTTGATGTATAATTTGAATCGTAAATTCACAAATTGCCTTTTGTTTCACCCTTCAGTAAACCGCCATTTTGAAATTAGTATCATCACGTCATTTCATCTATGCGCTGTCGTTGATTGGCTATGAGCACGCTTACAAACTTCCGGTACGCGCGCGATGGCAATATACTGCGGATTTCGATTTACCGTTTCAGCGCTTTCTGCGGATTTCGATTTACCGTTTCGATTTACCGGTAATTGTTTTCCCGTTGAAACTTACACGTTTCTAACGGTCAATGTCAATGTTACTAAGTGAAGTCTAGTGGTATTTGTCCGCTGTTTTGTTGTCCGTTGTTTATCATTTGTAAATGTAACTGTTATATTCGTATTTATCTCGTCTTTGGCAACATTTTAATATATAATTTACAAAGCTTTGTGGATCATTTCATGTTTTTATTGATATTTTTGAAATTGTAGCGTATAAAAGGTTTCATAATTATTTACTGGCCTTTTATACGCTACAATTTCCAAAGTATCAATAAAAAACATGAAATGATCCACAAAATTTCGTAAATTATATATCAAAATGTTGCCAATGACGAGATAAATACGAATATAACAGTTACATTCACAAATGATAAACAACGGATGAGAAAACAATGGACAAAGACCACTAGACTTCACTTAGTAACATTGACATTGGCCCTTAGCAACTTGTTCGTTTGAACGGAAAAACAATCACCGGAAACGCAAGCCCTGAAACGGTAAATCGAAATCCGCAGTATCTGCTTCGCAGATACAAAAATGATAATATAAAAATGTTATCGATCTTTAGAGTTACACTTGTTTAATTTGTATTTTGTTAAAATACTCAGTAGTTTTAATTAATAGTTAGTTATACAAGCCTTTTATACAGCCAGACCCTGGTAAGTACTGTAAGTACACCATGTAGTCCATGTAGTACCTGGTACAGTTAAATAATAGTAAAACATACCATAAATTAATTGTTTCTTTATTTTAAGTTTCTTTATTTCATCATACGTCATCTCTGTAATTTGATGGTTCTCTCCTGTCAGTTTCTTTAAATAACAAAGTAAAACAGGCATACAATTATTGGATGAGGTTGAAAAATATTATATCTTATTGGATTCTTCTGAGCCCAATATGGCAAAATATTAAGTCGAGACTACAATATTGGGCGAGACCGAAGGTCGAGCCTAATATTGAAGTCGAGACTTAATATTTTGCCATACTGAGCGAAGATGAATCCAATAGGAGTTTTAGTATATCGAACAAAACAATTCTATAACAAAAATTGACAATAAGCGATAAAGTGAATATAGCGAGACTAATACAGCGACAACATTACTGTACATATATCGGCGGCGAATTTGCTTAAATAACTAAAAAAAAAGTTAATAAACCTGTTTTTACAAATATGTGTGCATAAATAAACTCAATTCCATGTATGTTTAAAGGAAATTTGACCTAATTTTAACGAAAAAATAATATTACTAACTTCTAGGCTGTTGCAAACAAATAAATTTCGCGAAGACAAGGTTTCCCGCGCTTTTATAATTTTAAACAAAACTGGTAGAAAATACTGTATTAACGCCCCAAATTCTCTTCATTATTCTGCCATATCGTTTGTCGTATGTTTGAAATTGACAAAATATCTGAAAAGGGTTGAAAAGCCATGAAAAAAGTCACAGTCCAATAGGTTCCTGTCCACTGATATCGTAAAATATTGGATCGGCACGTACGTGACTCTCTCAACGATTACTGATTGGTTAAGTGCGTGTGAGTGTATAATAACGTAAATTATCAGCGATAAGCTAATGTCGGTCGATGCCGAAATCAGAGGCAAACAATTGATATGCGAGCCACTGGGTGACAAACGTGTTGGACAACTATAGACCGATATCAATCCTTCCTGTAGTAAGTAAACTTATGGAAAGAATTATGTATGATCAAATGTATGAGTATCTTAACCAGAATAATCTTTTCTCAAAACACCAATTTGGTTTCAGACCTTATCATTCCACAACTACTGCATTATTGGATTGTACGAACGAATGGTATACCAACATGGACCGTGGGCTGTATAACTTAGTTGTTTTTCTTGACCTAAAAAAAGCATTCGATACAGTCGACCACGAAATACTGTTAAGTAAGTTTGAAATGTATGGTTTCCAAAGGAAAGCATTAAATCTTTTACGTTGCTATTTGACGCACCGAACTCAAAGTTGTCAATTGGCCAGTATACTCTCGGTGGAGAAAGAAATCATTTGTGGCATTCCTCAGGGAAGTATACTCGGCCCTCTCTTATTTATTATGTATATAAATGATTTGCCAAGCTGCCTAGAACGCACAACTCCAAGAATGTTTGCTGATGATACTAACTTAACGGCAGTAGGCAGAACAATTAGTGAGGCGGAAGAGAGGGCGAACGTAGACATGAGGAATGTTCAGAAATGGCTTTGTGCAAATAAACTAAGTCTAAATATAGCGAAAACCGAGTATGTTTTAATTGGAACACGACATAAAATAAGTAATATTGATACCCATCAAGGAGTTAAAATAAATAATCAATTGATTAAAAAAGTTAAAAATACCAAAGCTCTTGGAGTTGAATTAGACGAAAACTTGAGTTGGGAAAAACACATTAACCATATTAGCAGTAAAATATCATCAGGTATTGGGGCTATTAGAAAAATGAGGGAGTATGTCGAACAAGACATTTTGATAAAAGTTTATAATGCCTTAATCCAACCTTATTTTGATTATTGCTGTGAAGTATGGGATACACTTAATAAAGGCCTAAGCGAACGTCTACAGAAATTCCAAAACAGAGCGGCTAGGTTGATCATGAACTTAAAAAATGAACATGGTCAGTCTATTTTGGCACGAAAATCTCTAGGCTGGGTAACACTTGAAGAGCGTAGGGCACAAATGAAAGCCAGGCTCATGTACAAGACAGTTAATGGTTTAGCCCCCCAACGACTATGTGAAGCTTTCCAAAATCTGAATACCATTCATGACCATAATCTGAGAGGTTCTTCAACAAGGGTTTATATTCCAAGACCAAAAACGGAATCCTTAAAAAAAAGCTTCCAATATAGTGGGGCTAAACTATGGAATCAGATACCTGAAGAGATACGCAATTCGGTATCGTATAATTCGTTCTGTAAAAAGATATCTTCCTCGACCTTAATCTCGACTTAAAGTAGTAGTTAATTTTTTGTCTAAATAGGTATATAATTGTATTTGTTATGTATGTAATATTAGAGCTAGTATATAAATAATAATTTGTAAGTACACATCCCTTTTGGAAATCAGCTTTTGCTGAAAAGGCCAATGTGTTTAAATAAAGTTGATCTATCTATCTATCTATCTTACGATTGCCGAGTTCAATAATATTATTGTATTAATTATTCATTAAATTCTGCTAATTTAATTGACTGATTAC